TGAAACATTAAAAGAACGGTTTTAAAGAATATAAATTAAATTACAAAATGAAATTTATATAATATGTACCCATCTAGAGGATTCACAACACCAGGAAAGTACTCTCCATATGTTAATCTGTTGATCTTGTGAGTCATCTGTTGCATAAATCCTACAAGTTTACTTCATAACCTTACAAAAATTACATCATTTAAGAAATATGTATTTTAAAATTAAAAAAAAAATGAAAATTACAGAAAAGGAAAAGGAAAGAAAGGAAGACAATTGAAAAGTCCTGCTGGCACTAGAAAGTTTGTACACAAATACAGAGTCTTACATTAAAACTATCTTTGTGAAAGGTGAGCAGATCGTGAACATGCACATTTGACTGCTGGAAACTTTTCCCAGGAGCAAAATGAAAATTACCAGCTACCTTATTTACATCCAAAAACCCATAAATGTTACATCCTTCACCATCCTCCTCTTTGATCCTTTGAAGGAAACCTTCTCTTTTGCACTGATTAATTTGTAAAATAGAAAAACCATCCATGACAAAAATAAGCAACAAAATGTTGAAACTTAAGATAAAATAATAATTTTTTTTTCACAACGTTAGCACTTATTAAGCAATGGAAAAGTGAACTCATGATAAGTTGGTCCACATTGTGCATGTCTGCTAAGACCCAAAGTATAAGCTGCACTGAACACTCTGCTGCCCATATTGTATTTGTATGCTATGATACAGGCTACTGCATACTCATACAATCAATGCATATAACTTTGCTCTTCAACTTCAAGTTGACCCAAAACCATCGTTGAGATAACTGTCAGCCGCTGCAGAAGATAAATGGAAGAGAATATAGACACAGACCTGGTCGATTAAATCTGGATTGGACAAGGCCCATCCTTTCTTTCTATATGCTTCACGAACGTCTTCACAATTGTTACAACAATCATCATCTGCCTGTAGAATACAAGCATTTGGTAAAATAACACACTAGAACATGAAAAACAATTAAGAATCCCGGAATTCATCATAACACAGTGAAAACAAAGAATAACATAAATTCAACAATCAATATATTGTTTTGATTTTACTTGTTTGCAGCCCATATTTTCCACTATCCCAGACCATCCAACAAATGAGAACTACTAAAAAAAAAAGACCAAAGTAAGCTTAGAAAAAAATGTTGAAGAGAAAAGTACCACTTCTGCACCGTAACAAGAGCCACAGTAGGTTTCATTGCTTTCCAGCCTCCCACCATGCCGCTGTAAAGGTCGCTCAATCTATGCCAGTCGAGTAAAATATAAAACAGTAAAGTGCATCAGTCAAGCACAATCCAATTTGCAACATTATTATACATTGGTCTCACAACTAAAAAATAAAGAAACTTATCCACTAATTTAGCTATAAGTCTACAATACACATATTTTCATTGCTAGATATCACAAGCCAAATGCTCTGATGCTAACCATAAAATTTGCATCAATATGCTTAATAAACATAACTAAGAACTAACCTTCGGAGAGCCAATAGTATCTGCCCTTGTTTCGATTATATTACCATGAACATCGATCCTTTTCTTGATAATATCATGTCTCTGCAGAAGTAAACAAAAGCCAGTTAAAGGGTAATAAAGGCAAAAGAATAACCAGGTTCCTGGAAATTTTCACTCTTCGTATTTATTTCTACCAGATCAAACATATTTTTCAGGTTAAGGATACATCCCAGGTTCTTATATAGTGACTTTTAAGTAATATCAAGATGTGAATCCATTTTGGTTTGGTACTGAAAGTATATGATGAAAGAACTGCTTAGTAATCTCAGTTATATTTGGATTGTATAATTATCTTTAAGTTGCATAGTTTTGAGTGCATACACGTGTATTATTACAATAAAACAAATTCCCCATAAATGAAATGAAATTTTTTAATATTTCCCAGAATAGCATTACTTTCCAGGTCCTTAGCTAGGAACTTATAAGTAGTATTACCATGTCGATCCACAGTTGCTAGGTACTGAAAGTATACGATGAAAGAAATTGCTGTTTTATCTCATTGATATTGGGATTGTTAAACTATGTTCAAGTAGTATACTTTCGAGTGCATGAAAGAGTGTTTTATTACAGCTAAAACAAATGCCCCCAAAATAAAACGGAAATTTACATAGATATATAGTTGTGAGATAATTTCTATCTAAAATGCTTACAACATCCAGATGTTGCTCTCCACTAATATCAATGGCATCAATGCTGACTATAGAGCATGGAAGTGCTGGAAAAGTCACATCAAACTGCAATTTCAGAGGCAATAGAGAAACTTAGTAAATTGATTTTCTAGTTAACATTGTGACATTATTTCGTTAATTATCAGGTAAATCAAGCAGCTTGTTGACATATAGGCTGTCCAACTTAAAATTATTAACTATGTAATTCATGTGGCAAATGTACTCTGTTCTTAAGGCAAGGTTCTAATAGATAACAAGAAACCAAGATGGACTAGCTGATATAGTCACACTGAATTGAGGAGAAATATTACCTACTTTGTTTGTTTATTCACAAATCACAAGGATTGACAGCCACACACATTCTTGTTGATATACTAAGAAACGCATTAAAGTAGAAAGATAAATCCTATTTTAAAGCTTAAATTGGTATCAAGTAGCCGAGATAAAATTATAAAGCTTCATAAATGGAAACCAATGGTTTTAGGGTCTTGGATATCCCACTGTTAAATCAAAATAGAAATGAATAACGGATACGAAATTATATGTCTACACACATATGCTAAGATAGAAAAGTAATAGAAAAAATGACTGATGCATAGAGAGGTTATTGAGGACAATAAGAAGATAAAAACACTGAGTCTTGGCAACACTAAATACTGTGTCTTGGCAGTGCCACATAATAACACGGAAGAATGAGACAGTTAATTTACATTAATACGAAGCCTTTCTCCTCTTGATGTATCTACCACTAACTTTGTCTCGGTTACAGCATAAAGGTACAATCCTGCAAATGGAACACAAACAAGCCAATAGGTTTACGATCCTTGTTAACACAAATAAATATAATCAACTTGAACAATATGGATTTTATCGCTAATTACAAAACTCCAAAATGCATGACATACAATCCATGAAGAAATCTAAATCATTCAAAAAGGAGATGGTCTATTTTTTCCACAATGGTTGACATGAATTTTGTTCAGACATGGCCAGTAATGATAAATCTTAAAAATCTGCAGGGCGCAGATCCTAAATAAAACCTGCCCAAATAAAATTTCAGTTTGGGTGCAATCTAAAGCAAGCCAGTGACATCCCAAATCCATTCGAGAAGAACAGAGGAACACAATGTTCATTTCTAGATTCTGAAACCTCTGCTCACGTATTGGCTCCATCGATTCATTTCCCACATATCAGGGACATAGTAATACACACTCTGATTCCAAACTATATAAACACAAAAGTTCCACATTATCTTGCAGGTTACAGAGAAACTATATCATATTCGCAAGTACAAGAGTACATCAAATGGTGTTTGTATTAAACCAAACCAAATCTCAAACATCCTCCAGGAAACTACATGATTCCCAAAATTCAGTCCAAGATTAGCCTATTGAAAAGGTTGTGCTAAATAGCATGCTCATGATGATGACTGCATAGAGCATTATAATCATTACTTTCTCATTATTTTTTACATGATCGAATAGGCATCTCATATCACACCAACTATCAACCCCTAGAGCAGTTTTGGCCGCAACAGAAACAAGTAATACGCCTCACCCGCCAAAATGGATTTTATAAATGCATGTGATTGAAATGTTTATCAATGAACGCGCCCACGTGTTCCTGTGGTGAGAATACTATGCAAGATGTAAACAATTAGTAGTAAAAACACCCATCACACGTCGAACAAAATAAAATACGACGACAGCATTACAATAGCAAAAAGTGGGTCCTTCCATTTTCACACACAGTATGAAAAAACAAGAAAACCAATTTAATTTCAAGAGTGAAAAATCCTTTCCCATAAGAATATCCACTAAACTCACCTTCCCCATCTTGGAATTACACAAACCCTAAACATAACCCGATTAGCATGCTTATGATTGGCTTTCTCCATAGCACAAACATGTGAAAAACCTATACCAGCTTCTACCCAAATCCAAAACTGAACATACGAACACTCATAGGGAAAAGCAGAAACAATTGAAAACTTTCCAGTTGTCACCGACCCATGATTTAACTCATCAAATAAAGTTTCAAACGGATCTTGTCGCCAAACTGCAAACGTGCACCATTTCAATACGTACGAAGCTAGAAAATGAAAAATTATAAAGGTTAGATAGAAACGATACGAACTGAGCTCAGAAACGAACAGCAGGAGCATGATGATGGAGGAAGCCAGGGTTATGACGCCGCCGGAAAGTGTTCGGCTGTAAAAATCCTCGTTGATCTTCGGGTACGCGTCCAGGCTCCGTAATTTCGCAAGTATACTCTCCATCATCTCCAAAAGAAAAAGAACACCAGTAGAAAAAAACACGGAAATTTGTATGAAATTGTGAATTGCAAGAAACTTGATGCAATATTTCTACAACTTTATGTTATGAAATTATCAGATATGGGATTTGGGGAAGAGTAGAGTCGCCGACGATGAGCGTCCGCCGTGAATGATGCTATCTACGATCTGTAGACCGTATTCGTTAATTTGCTGGTATTTT